GCCCGGCACTCCTTCACACAGAGCGGTGCAGCCATGGCCTGCTGCACTGACACCTGCTGTCTTTTGCCAAGAGTGACCAGAAGAGAGAGCAAGATGGATCACACACTTTGCTCTTCTGATCTGCAAAAAGTAATTCTCATCACTCTCAAATGCCTCTGGGAGGCTGGGTTTCAAATAGAGATGAAACCTAAATCCCCTAAGGTTGGTTGCAAACAAATGTTTGCTATAAAACCGTCCAGTTTTATTGCTCTGTTAAGCAATTGTGAAGATATAAAGAGACAGAAAGCTAGAATGCTAGAATGCTAGCTAGATAGATAGATAGATAGATAGATAGATAGATAGATAGATAGATAGATAGATAGATAGATAGATAGATAGATAGATAGATAGATAGATAGATAGATAGATAGATAGATAGATAGATAGAAAAAGAGAGGGAGAAGCTGGAACGGAGAGAGGGATGTATGAAGGGTGGAGGGGGCACCAACAGGAGGCAACATGAGAGGACAAGCCTTTTAACATCTGGGTAAGCACAGACGAGCAGCCGCTCTGCAGCCTAATTATTAGAACACTCTTACTTAACTTAACCTCGTCACTAGACCGTGACAGAGAGAGGGAGGGAGCAGGAACCAGAGCAGGAGGACAGATGAGGGAGGGAGGGAGGTTTGAGACAGAAGGAGGGGGATTTTTGTTGGGATGACAATGTTGATCTCCTTAACTATTCACCTGCCGGAGAAAATCGACAATAGTGTCGGCTTGAGTAAAAAGAAACCTAAAAACGTTTCTCTCCAACTCCAACTATTTTTTATTGTTTGATAATAGCAGATTTCCATTATTATGATGTATCCTGGTGCATTTGCCACTTCTGCTGCAACTGTTTCCTAAAGTTTTCAATACATCCAAAAGAAAAACACACACAAACATGCCACTGACATCTGCTCTGACAAAAAAAGAGGTAAAAAAACAACAACTGTGTGTTTTTACAGCTGTCAGTGCACACTGCTCTTCAGAGCTTTTGAAAGGGAAAAGACGGCGGAATAACTATACACTCTGACAGATCTGTGCAGCCCAATCGAAAAACATGAAAACAAGAATCAATCACGCAGACAGAGTAGGGAGTGAGGAGAAAGAGAGAGCAGGAGAATGAAAAAGAGACAGAGAAAGAGCACCAGCAAATAATTAAAGGCTCAAACCCAGTGGCTGACTGGCAACTACAAAGCCAGAGAGCGACAGGGAGACGCAATGCAAAAATAACCATGCTTGCTAAAAATCTCGGCGCAACTGCTCAGGAGCTGTGTAAATTAGAGGACGAGTCCCTGCCAGGTTTGCCACTGTAACAATATATCCTCGTGACTGACACTCTGACGCGTTTGGGGAGGACACGAGAGCATCTTTTAACATGTGTTGATGTGTGCTATAATCTGTGCTATATATCGACCCGAGCTGAAATCATTTGAAGTTCAGAACAAGTGTGTGGAAGCTCCATGGGGAAGGATGGGTGGTCGGCGGCCCTGCTATAAGACCGTCTCGATGATGGGGTGGTGGGGGTTAAGCACGGAGCTGCCAGCCACCCGGTTCCCTGTAAATCAGTGGGGATTTATGGAGACAGGCCCACATGGCTCATGGGCTGGTCATGTCAGGAAGGAAGCCTGTGTGGCTGTGCTCTGTTGTCTTAAGGATTTTTTCCCTTTTATTTCAGCTGCTCAGGAAGGCAGCTGCAGTCTGCGTTTCAGCTCACAGCGCTGCTGATTGCTCATCCCCTGCCTTTTATTATTTTTTATCTTTCTTTCATCTCGCTCTTCCTCATTCCTTGCCTTCTCTACTTCTAAGACTACGTCTAATGTCTTATTTTTTCTGTGGGTCACACTGAGTTTGGAAACAGGTTACACTATATCAGTCTCTCTGTTTATCACACACACGCACACACACTTTCCCTCTGGATGTGAAGCTGGGATAGCTGTCCTGGGTCAGGTTCACTGCTCGGCTCTGCTGTGCTAATGCGTGTCGGGAGAAGGCAAACAAACATGCTACAGATGTAACACATTCACACTGGGAAATTAACACACACACACACACACACAAACAAACATCAAATGCTAACAGACAAAATTCCATGGTGACCATCATTTCTTCCAAAATAACATAGTTAGTCATACTACTCTAAATTCATACTAATGAATTATAATAATAATGATCACATTACTGTAATATTAGACTATAGCATTGGACTACAATCTTTTTTTTTTTTTTTTATATCTTTGATATAATTATAAAATATAAGCAAAATTAAATTAAATAAGAAAATGAACCAAAAAAAGTAATACAAAAACATTTTATATTATAAATGATATAAATATAAAATCTAATAAATTAAATCATTTTAAAAAATGAACAAAATAACAGTAATCTATATATACACAAAACAAGGTAACAAGATTTGATTTAATTTGGTGAAAAATATGGTTAAAAAATCGTTTTTGTAAGGGACACGTTCTATTCACACGTTGTTCTCCTTTCCATTCGAAAATTATGGAAACCATCATGCTGTAAAGCTCTAGATGTGACATGTTGTAACTCTTGAGAGGGCTGAGACTACCTGCAGGAATTGTGTCATCATAGGACTGTATCTTACCAAGGTTTCCTGCTCGCTAGCGTAGAGGCTGAGAATCACACTAGCTGCAGTACAGTGCAGATTTGGGGCTTAATGCCCAGAGAGAGGACAGGGTTCCTGAAGTGACAGCCAGTAGCACGGTAGCCAGTCAAGGGGAACCCAATTTAAGTCTCTTATACAACACTGCTGGAAATTCAATTGCATTAGAGCCCTTGGTGGGCCTAAGGTTTAATCTAATTAGATTCGGCTTTAAAAGAGAGGAGGAGAAGAAGAGAGGCAGAGAGTGAGAAGGCAAAACTGTCTCCCACTCTTCAAATTTTAAAACGCTCTCTCTCTGTTTTTTTCTCTACGGAGAGAAGACTGAGGCTTTCCTATCCCTTCCGCCACCCTAATCCCCTCTCATTTCAGCAAGAGAAGCCGCTGCTCTTATCTGATAGTATGAATGTCAGATTACAGTCCATTGAGGGACTTGGATTATACCTGGATTGGCCCTCGAGAGCTGCTATCTGTGCTTAATCTGAGTTGAGGGTGAAGGTGTTATAATCCCTCTAGCCGAACGGACGGGCACTGTATCACTGCTTCCTGTGCTGCTGCCGGTTCAAAAGCGCTATGGTGGATGTCTTAAAGAGCGCTCTCAACGAGACCCCCTCAGAGGAGAAATTCTAGATGAGATACTAGGCACAGTTTCCAGTCATCAGTCTGTCTCTCTTCCTCCCTCACACTCCTGCCTTCCTCTCTCATTTCTTGTTGGGTGTCATTCATGCTCCTCCCAGCCTGCGTGCTGCTGTTTTTATCGGATCAGTCTCAGCTCACCGCCCTTGTCTCTCATCTGTACGATCAAGGGTGCTTCCATCTCTTCCTCTCTTTCTGTATCCATCTCTCGCTCTTTACCCTGCTGCTGGGCCTCCCTGTTCCACTATAGCTCTCCCAAAAAGAGCGAATTTGAAAACTGTAAAAATCTAAACATTTCTGGATTTGAGTGAGAGTGCACATGAGGACAAGAGAGAGAGAGAGAGAGAGAGAGAGAGAGAGAGAGAGAGGAATTTTAAAAAGAGAGATTGGCAGAGAGAGGCATAAACCAATAAATAGACAAGAAAGCCAGATAAAATAAACAGGGAAAAAAGGTCGCCTTTAATGTATAACATAAGTTAACGGATTAGCTATCTTGAACTAACAGTGAGCAATATATTATTTTACAGCATTTATTAATATTTGTTAATGTAAGTTAATAAAAATACAATTGTTAATTTATGTTAGTTTGTAGTGCATTAACTTATGTCAATCAATTCATCTTTTGATATAAAAAATGTACAGTATTAGTTAATGTCACATAAAGAAAAATTAATAAATGCTGCTGAAGAATTGTTCAGTTTTAGTTTAAGTCAATTAATGTAGTTAACTTTTTTTTTTTTTAAATGAACCTTATAGTGTGTTACCAGAAAACAGACATTATGTATACATTATGAATTCATTTACATTAATGTGTGTCTCATTACATAGCAATTGTCTTCTTCTCAAATCAGATTTATTTGGAAAAACAATCTCATTACATCTTGAGAATGAAAGTGGTTAAGAAGTGGTTTCTGTTTGTGTGTGTGCGCGCACGTTTTTGTGACAAATGAGGACATCAATTTGTATACCTATGTTTTCATTGGGATTCTAATGTATTTGAGTAAGAGTGGTCAGGTTGGATTACTTCAGTAATACCAGTGGACTTCCGCTCTGCAGAGGTCTTATGAATCTGTGCACACATTTCACATTTCCTCACCTCTAAAACGCACACATACACACTCATACACACACTCTCTCACCCAAGAGAAACCTCCATTTCATTTATGAGTGTTATCTGTGGAATGTATCTGCTCTGTAAGACCGGTAGGGCACACTCTCTAAACATTCCCAAGCAGTTTGACTTGTGAAGTGGGACACACTTTCTACATTACAGGGATAACATATCACGACAAGAAATTTATTAAGTTAAACACTGTTGCACACACACACACACACACACACACATGTATATTATTAATCTTTATTCTTTTACTTTTATTTCCAACTGTTTTTTAACCAGTTCATTATTTTAAATGTTTTTCTAAAATTGCTCTAGACTAACTTTAGTTTAATTAACTTTACGTCGAACCTAACAGATTTTTGAGACCCATTTGAGTGTAGCTAGCTTATGTAAAAAGAGACAGCAAAACAAAATGTACAACAAAACAACTCTTGGTTATTTAAAAAAATGTGTGGGACCTTATTGCTACTCAACCAAACAAAATCAATTTTGGGATCTAAAAGTAGTAGCAGACTCTTAAGTATCTGAGTTATTTGTACAGATGTAACAGTTAGCGGACATTAATAGTGTACTTCATTTAAAAAAGACTGTACTCACAGCGCTCAATGCGATCCTCCGGACTGGATGAGGTTTCTCGGTCCGACAGCAGGCCTGACACTGCGAAGATCTTCTTCCCCACATCTTCCACGGCTTTGAGAGCACTAGGCGAGCTGGAGGGGATCTGAGCACCACCAAAGTCATACTCTTTCCCTTCTGCGTCCGAGTAGCGCAGGTGCGGGGAGGCCTCGGCCTCCAGGCAGCCCTTTAGCCGCTTGGCTGGGGTAAAGGCGGACTGGTATCCACCTCCCGCTCCATCACGGTCCTCCAGAGGAGAAGCGAATGGCCGGAAGGCCCCAATGCCACTGTGGTTGAGCATGCTTATGGGTGAGCAGTCCAAATTTGGAGGGGCAAACTGATGATGAAGGTGTAGGAGGGAAGGAGGGAAGTCCCTATTGGGGAAGCCTGGTGGTACGGCGCCCTGCCGGTGGTACATGGAGGCGAACGTGTAGGAACCATTGTTGAAGGGAAGGTGAACATCCTTCTCCACAGAAACTGGCACGCCGAACGGGCGAGGCTGCTGGCAGGAAATGGAGGCATCACGGCTGGCCTCCGCCGTTGATGCTAGCACCATTAGCGCCGGGGATGCTAACGGGTTGGGCAGGTAGGAGGAGCTCTCCATTTTAAAAGCTGCCCGGTGCAAGTCCATTTTGGAGACTGGGCTGTGGTTGGGCGGAGGGGGGGTTAGGGGCGAGAGCAGAGGGGTATAGGGGAGGGGTGGAGAGAAGAGAGACGGGGTAAACGGTATGGGCAGAATGGTGCAAACTTTTGCGCTGTCGACTCTCTGGCAGAAACGTCGGTCACTCTCACTGGCGGCTCATCCTATGGGGTCCTCCACCTGAAGAAAGTTGAACAGAGTAGGAGTTAAATCACTTAAGAGGGGTGTGGGGGAGGGGTGGAGAGAAGAGAGATGGGGTAAACTTTTGCACTGTCGACACTGGCAGAATCGAGGGTCGCTCTCACTGGTGGCTCATCCTCGATGGTCCTCCACCTGAAGAAAGTTGAACAGAGTAGGAGTTAAATCACTTAAAAACACTCTGAAACTCTTTCCTACTTTTCCCTTTCCGAAATAGAAAGTTTCTCCCATAGATCTGAGGTTCAGATCACATATAAGCCTCTTACTCCATCTCCCTGTCTGTAGAGCAGAACGGCGTCTGAGGCAGATAAGAGCCATGCGCTGATCAGATAAGAGCGCGGCCCTGCTCGTGTGAACACCCTGCTCCTCTGCCTCCGATGGGATTCTCATACTGATATCATATCAGCCTGCCATCTGCACAGGAAATTTGACTGAATGAATAAATTAGCCGCACTTCACCCCTTGACCTCTGCTGCAGCCAAACAGCCCGAGAAGAAGCCCTGGAGGATAACATTCAGTGATTGCCAAAAGTGTGAGTGGGTTTAATGAGAAGCGTTTTAGCCAATCTGTCTATTTGTGCGCGTGTGCGTCTGTCCGTCATCACTAATCCTTTGTGGTTGGCCCGAAAGTGATCTATAACAAGTTAAATGGACATTTAACATAGGCCTACATAAAATTCAGAAATTATTGTACTGCTCAAACTGCACACTCAAATACAAATCAAAATGACCCCGTTTAACAATTCTTTATTTTTTATCATCAACCATCATTAAAAAGGGTCAAAAAGGGTAAAAAAAAAAACTTTTTGATTTTGATTAACATTACTTCTTTGAGGACATAAAAGTGAAATACACTACTGTTCAAAAGTTTGGGTTCAGTAAGTAAAAAAAATAAATTAATACTTTTATTCAACAAGTATGCATTAGTCTAATTAAAACTGACATCAAAGTCATTTATTATGTTCTATTTCACATGAATGCTGTTTTTTTAAACTTTCTATTCATCAGAAAAAAGTCCTGGACAAAACTTCCACAAAAGGTTAATTTAATTATGCTATATTTGTCACAAGTTAAAAATTGAGATTGATTATCTGGGAATAAAATAAATCTGTCACTGAATAGCTACAGTGATCCAGCATAAATCTAGCATTGCATTTCCTTTTCAAATTACGTCAAAAATATGATGTGGTGTGAAGGCTGTTATGTGTGCAGCTGCTAAAATGGAGAGCCCTCAAACGACGTTGCAGGAAATGACACTGGTGCAGTACGTTTTTAACTACTTTACTCTTGAAAACTTCCCAAACCCCTTTGTCTAAAGGGTCTCAGCAGCACTCCAGCACTTGTTACGTTTTTTAATCACCCTGGAGGGTAAACTTATGTTTATCCACAACAGTCTTCTTAAGCATCCACTCGAAATGGCTGCCGTCACCGACACAAACACGGCTCTCCAGTCTCTCCTCAGCTTGTCAATCAGGGAAGCGGCGTTAAATATTTGTGGTGAGGAGGGTAAAAGGTGCTGCATGGATCGCCCAGGCCGCATTTGCTCGGCAGAGGATGGCTCACTTAGTATTCCGCAAGTTACAAGAATGCGAAAGACGAAAGGAATTCATGCTAATTGCTGCTCCAAATTAAGCCATGCCAACCATTTCTCACACTTTTTTAACTTTCACTGAAAAGCTTCCAGCGGTGTCAAAAATATGATGTGGTGTGAAGGCTGTTATGCGTGCAGCTGCTAAAATGGAGAGCCCTCAAACGACGTTGCAGGAAATGACACTGGTGCAGTACGTTTTTAACTACTTTACTCTTGAAAACTTCCCAAACGCCTTTGTCTAAAGGGTCTCAGCAGCACTCCAGCACTTGTTACGTTTTTTAATCACCCTGGAGGGTAAACTTATGTTTATCCACAACAGTCTTCTTAAGCATCCACTCGAAATGGCTGCCGTCACCGACACAAACACGGCTCTCCAGTCTCTCCTCAGCTTGTCAATCAGGGAAGCGGCGTTAAATATTTGTGGTGAGGAGGGTAAAAGGTGCTGCATGGATCGCCCAGGCCGCATTTGCTCGGCAGAGGATGGCTCACTTAGTATTCCGCAAGGAAGCGCTTTTGGACCGGAGGACAGTCGATATTATTGAAAATACAGTCATTCACCGTCGACTGGCCTGCAACTTAGGACCACGCAGATAATATATCCTGCTGAATAAGAATCAAAGCCCTCGTGATATGAAATCTTCCACAGAACAATTCAATAACATGTAGCAGCTGCGGTATGAGACAAAAAAAAAAAAATGAACACCTGCATCCTGAAAACGTGAAAGTGAGATTTAATGACAGACTGAGAACGTAGTGAAGGATAATGACACTTGGACATACAGCTAACTAAATCAATAATGATAGTACAAGCTGTGCCTCAACACTCCAGTTCACTATCAACAAATAAATTCCCCACAGTGTATGACACACAATAAAACCCAGCAATAAATAGAGGTAATCAATCACTGCTTTATTGGATCTTATCGCCTGCATAAGTATACCGAGGGCCCGCCTCTAAACTTTCGCAACTTTTTTTCCCCCAGACAAAATTTGCACGATTTACTCTCGGCTCAGAAAACGTGCCACTCGCCATGAGCTGTCAGAATAAGTGAGGATTTGCTTTTCAAATAAAGCTTTGCGGCGGGCACCGGGGAACATTGATTCATTGTGAACAAAATGATTTTCAAAGTTTCCTGTTCTGCCAGCCCTATTCATTTCAGGGGCTGATGGACTGTTTGTCTCATCCCACCCACCTGAGCCAACTAATTCCTCACTAAGCCCAGATTATTTGCAAAGGTGTCTGGATCCTCTGTGCTCAGAGCCAGGACTGGACTGCAAAGAAGCCACGGCGACACCAACCCACCCACCCACCTCACCACCCTTACAGCTGTCCACTGCTGCCTGCCACTGTGTACTGAGAAAGAGCAAGAGAGAGAAAGAGACTTTACACTGTTTTGATTTTGCCTGGTTTGAGCACACTGTTTGCCAACCAGAGGCTCGTCAATAATAGATAACGAAGCACAATGCGAGAGCAGTCTGCCACTAAACCGCCTGAACTTGTTGGCTGGCCTGTCTTATAAAACACAAGATTAATTTAACTAGCACGGTTGGCCTCTTATTCCAAGTTCAGTTCCACAACATTTTCCCCCGAGTAAGAAAACAGAATGAATTTCATGCTTATCCTTCCACAAATTTGTGCATTAAAAAATGCATTCGCTCACTGTAAGAATTAAACAGTAACTAAAGTAAAAGGCATTTATATATATATATATCTAAACAGGTGGGAAGAGCTGTGTCTCACTCCTAGACTAATGTTCAGTGGGAAGATACCAAGCAACATTCAGACAAGCAGAGAAATATAGGACTCTTATTGGTCTCAGGCAAATGCACTGGTAATGCCTTGTGAGAGAGGGTGTAAAATTAACTTATTCTACAGCTCTAAAACTCACATCTAAATAATGGACAGCTAGGTAAATCAAAAAAGAACAAACTACAAAAACTAGCATATAGCCAATGAATCTTCAGTTAGCTCAGCTCTAACAGAAATCTCTATGACTTTAAAATGCAGTTATGTTTGTTTGTCATAAGTTTTATATTTATTCACACATGACTTTATTGATATTTTGTTATTTGTTGCAATATTATATAAGTATAAATATCTTAAGGTCCCCTAAATTGTTAAAAATTGAAAATCTGTATGTTCTTTTGCACTTCAAAATCAAGAGTGAACGCGCAGCCAACGCCCCATTGAGTGTCACTGCAATGGCTGAGACAAAATACAGTTTATCATAAGGTCAAGCGCAATTTATTCTAATTAAATTAGCGTTGATATGGTAGTTATCAATTTAATTTAATAATTCAATTAATTAAAGTTAAAAAGACATGACAAAAAAACATCCGCAATGAGCAAAACTACAAGCATTAAAAGCAATTAAATATAAAAACAAAAACAAAAAAGACATTAAAAAAACACAACAATAGAACAATAACGTAACTCTTAATAAGAAAGAAACTATATATAGTTATAGCATACAAACTAGTAAAAGAGGACGAAAGCGATCATCAGTATTCAAAAACCTTCGAGCAGCAGTAGATTTTATTCAAAGGCTTTGCTGCGGTTGGGGCGCTTTACCTAACAAACAAAGTATCTCACTCACCATAAAATTTCAAATGTTCCGCCTCGGAACTAAATAAAAAGGTACATGAATAGGCGTGTCTGCACGCTTCAAAACATAATGGAAGGGGACATGGTGAAGTTAGGCAATCAAAGGACTACACCTGATTATTTTCATCTTTATACAACCGTCCAAACGCTTGTCACGCACATGCATCTTAAATATTTCTCGACAAATTCAAAAGAATCCTTTAAGGACCACGACCTTCCCCTGTGCTCAAACTGTGGTATTATTTGTAGATTATTTTAATTACCATACCATGCCACCATCTGCATGACAAATGAGCTTTCGGTGAAGTGTTTATTAGCACGTCAAAACATAAGCATGCACGAGGGCGGGTGGGTACGAGTTAACGGGGTTAATTCTAGTTTAATTCGTTGGGAAACGGCACGCTTGTCGATAAGGTGGAATAGACAAAAGGCCAATCAAGCCGGTGCATTTGAGAAACGCGTGCTTCATTTACTTTCAGCGCGCGGTGTCGGATGGATTTTTCTTTTCAATCCTGACCAGAAAGACCTTCTCAGTCACATATTATTGTAAATTAGAGCCGCAGAACTTCTTGTTGTCTCCGTCCTCGCTGTCCGTGCATGGGGAAGGATGCTCTCCTCTCCTCCTAATTGTTAACAAGAATGAAAAGGTTTGATTGCGCTTGCTCTTTTTTAATGCTACAAATCCAGATTCAAATAACTCTGGCCATTGATCCGGCCACTGGAATCGACATTAATTTTAGTTCACTTCTCACTTTG